TTAGCGATGCTAATGTAAACATGCACCGATCATATTACATCCAAAAGAGTCAGGCATTGTTTCTGATAGCAACGTTTCTGATAGGACCGTGGCCAGCCTACATTTCCGATATTTCGTCATATCGGACTCAAATCTAAATATGCTCCGTTGTAGCCCCGTTTTTAGAGATTTGGGTACGGAGAAAAAGAGAGAGGGTTTTATTTTCTGACGCTGCGTGAGTTCCCTGACACACCGGGGATACATATTATTTATGTACAAAACACATCAAAAAGTGCATTTTGCATGATGGGTCCCCTTTGATATAGTATTAAAAAGAAAAAATATTTTATATCAGAAAATATTTCAGTGCCAGCTCTTTTTGAAAGAATGAATTGTTGTAAACAATTCAGGTCGACTTTTTTTTATACCAAACCAGTGTGTGTTGTTTTTTTCAGATCAATTGCAAACTTTACAAACAGGTTAATATGATTTCTTACTTCAGTTCATAAAGTCTCCCTTGGTAGACCCCTTGATGCGATTAAAGCCTAATGCTTAAGTCGTCATGTGAAACTCCACTCCCTGTTGTGACCGGTCTAAGTGCCAGTTTCTCAGCTCGTTCTACGGCCTGTCAGCCGCGGCTAATGCTAGCAGCACGTTTTCCAGCATTACTCTTAGTTTTCACCTAGAATAACAGTGCAGGGCTAATCCACTGACTGACTGATTTGCAGGCCTAATCCAGCCAGCCTCGTGTTTTCCCTCTAGCTGTGTGCACAGAGGTTGTGTGTGCACAAGGCCAGGCCTCTCAGTTGCGCAGAGAGGCTAGGCCTTCCTGCAAAGCGGTGGCGAGGTAAGGACCCCGTGTCCCCCGCTGCCGCACCGTCTTCCACAACGTGCGCGCAGCAGCAGGTCTAATCAAAGCACTCCATAATACTGTTAGCTGGGTCATGTGCTGGAAGCCAGGATTGAGAGCAAGAGGGCACAGGCCACTAGATCCAGCTTAGGAGGGGTGTTCTCTCCCCTTTTCCCTCTCTGGGTCTCCCCCGCTCCCTCTGCGGTTCTGTCCTCACAGGTGGGAGATAACCATCCAAGGTCAAACATGTCCGTTACTCACAGAATGAATAGAAACAACCATGCATTTTATATATAGCATAGTATATTATGTTTTAAAATGATTCAAAGGTGTATAATATAATTTTTTTGCCTTACCAACTGAATTACTCCTACTTTTTATACATTTTGCAAAGCAAAGTAGATACTTCAAACCTTGTTCATTAAAAAAAGAAATTCCTTAGCCTTTCATCACCTACTGTTCCACCTTTAGTACTCTAGCACTATGTAGCATATTTCACAGAATGCTACTACCATGAAAAACGACACGGACAAGAACATTTAACATACGTGTTAACCGTCAGTCATTGTGGTCATTTGAAAAATAAATAAAAGACTTGCCCGGAAAAAGAACGAAGTTAACTGCACAGCTGAGCTCCTGGAAATGTTTTTTATAGGGCTGTCAACATTAACACTTTTATGGTCGCAATTCATCTGGAAACCGCAATGAATTAAAATAAACGATTGTACGATGTAATTGGTCAGTCGGCACCTTAGTGCAGATGGAAGACCGAAACGGAGAAGACAAGATCAATTCCTCCCTATTAGTGTGGACGTAGCTTCAAGCATCATTAGTCATGTTTTTACTTCTCCTTTCTCACAGAATCTCCTGACCTTTTCTGTGCTGTGTTTTCCACACTCACTAATACCCTCACCCACTTTGCTCCAGTAACACATTGTAATACCGCAGAGCATGCCAACATTAGATTACCAGTCTCAGCATTTGAGAGAGAGGGGGGTAAGTTGGAGGTCCCGTCAGTGCTTTGCAAGTATCAAGCCAGGTCAACAGTTCCCAGCTTCTAAGATGACGAGAAACGGGAGGAGGAAGCAGAGGAGGATGCTCAGGGGTGAAGGGGGCAGGTGTCGCTTTTGGGCACCTGCGCTGATTTGTGGAAGAGAACTGGAACCGTCCGGCTGAAGCTGAGTGCAGGAGGGGGGTGAGGAAAACAGAGAGAGGGTCAAGGGTAAGATGACTCCTAAACACAGGAACATGGAGGCAGATGGTTGAAAGAGAAGAAAGGCGGACTTCAACCTCCAAAAGCCTTCTGTGTGGATATAGTCATATGATATGATATGATATGAAGGCTAGCCAACAAAACGAGCTCCCTTATTGGTAATAAAGCAGTTGGCTCTGTATTCATCTTTCAAGCAAATTTGATTGGTCAATTAGGATCCCTGTTGTGAGCATGGTTTATTCTCAGAGGTGATTCATAGTTTCTAAGAGCCCTATTTTGGGAGCTGCATCCTTTGTGTTGCTACTATTTTAACCTTGTGGTTTTAATGCATTATACTTGTTTGTGTGTGTTTACATGGATACACACGCTGAAGACCTTTTTCTAGATTATCACATCAAATCCCAAATGTATTTAATATGTTGGAAATCATGAATTTTGTATCTTTTTAGATGTTCAATCAGTCAAACAGTGTAAGCACAGCTCAGTTTCAGTTGTTTAAAACGGTTGTACAGGGACTTGATCAGGGAGGAGTCGCTTCAGTCACTTTGCCATTTCAGGGTGAGGGAGTCAAACCCGTGCACAGTCTCCCCTGAAACCAGAGAGAGCTGACCTTACAAAAGTATTTAAACATAAGACTTACTCAACACTGGAAGCCAGAGGGGGGGCTCAATTGTTTGCTGTTGTAACACGGCCGGCTTTAGTGTTGCTAAAGGCTCATATGTGTTCAGTTCAGGAGTGTGAGACCAACATTTCCCTGATTTTGTCAGCCCTTGAAACTGGGTTGAAGAAGGCCATATTTATGCTCAGAAGAAGACTCGAGCTGCAAAGACCTACAAATAATTCACAATAAACGGCCTTGTGAAAGACGACTGTTTAAAATATGTAGATGGTTAACTCAGAGTTATTTATGTGTGCTGTTTATCTTTTTTGTTGGTGGTGAGTGCCAATAACACAAAGCCTATTCATAAATCTATGTAATCATCAACTGTGTTTACAATATAATTATTCTACTGAAGGCATATACTACTACTTATTAGTCCTGTGTTTCTACACATACATATATAGGTGCACATTCGAAAATGACATTTGAAACTGACGCCACATGTAGTCAGTTCTTGTGTCAAACCCAAACTATGAAGAGAAAAATAAATATTCATAAAGCCTGAAACAAAGTGTTGATTTCGATTGTGCCATGAGAGTCAGGCAAAGAGTCATCCTGAGGTTATAACTCATCACTATCTGGACAAAAAAAGTGTTCTAAAAACGAATGATTTAGCTGCAGTCCCACATTAGTTTTTGATGGATTGCCTGTAATGGCCGTCAGAAGCAATCTGAAGGATTTCCACAGTCACTTGCTCTTTGACAACCTGACTTAGTGCTGAAAATAGAATGAAGTGTGTGTGTGTGTGTGTGTGTGTGTGTGTGTGTGTGTGTGTGTGTGTGTGTGTGTGTGTGTGTGTGTGTGTGTGTGTGTGTGTGTGTGTGTGTAGAGTTAGAGAGGAGTCTTTGAAGACAGTTGTGAAACTACATGCTCTTCTCAGTCATGCACACAGTTGTTGTCATTCTTAAGAGACCCCCGTCGTGGTCATGGAGGCTGACTGGTCCCGACACTGTTGTCCAGTGTATGTGTGTGTTTTGGTTGTAGGAGAGAGCGCCTCCCTGCTGTGAGCGCAGAGTCAGAGGCAGCAGGTGCAGCTGACGCACACAGGCTTTTTAGCAGGCAGGGCCAGTTGGGGGACAGAAAGGGAGAGAATGAGTGAGAGGCAGAAAGCCAGATCAGACCTCTGAGTGTTACCGGACCAATGCATTTATCTGCCCTATTCTAGTCCTCGCACAGTATGTGACAACCAAGGGAACATGACCTGAACTGCACAGACATGTCCTCAGCTTCAAAGGTGTGCGTGAGTGTGTTTTTTTTTAATGGTTTTATAAGTACAAAGATTGCTTGGAGCTCAAGCAATAACCTGGAAGACTTGAGGAATGTGTGAGGTGCGTAGTTTTGTTTGAGCGTTTATTTTTTATCAGTTTACATTTTTCTTTATGAAGATACAATAACTGTTCAAAAAGTCAAGAGTGTTGTGCTGGGATCATGGTTAACAGCAACATATCAGGAAGCTTGTACTCATTATACTCCTGCTTTATCTACCTGTTAAAGGGGACTTATTAGTTATTTCTTATACTCATGTTATCTGAACATGGCAGCGCACACAAAACTGACCAGGTTTACAAAAATGTGTTTTTATCATGATTGGTCTTTAATATACTAGCCATATATACCAATGCTTCTTGTAGCATTATGGGTGAGTGTTGAGGAACTGCTGAAGAGTTGTGGACTCTGTGACTCTGCAGTGAATGTGGTCCTCACTCTCCATTGTGTCAAAGAGCCGGCGCGGTCTCCGCCTGCTGAGACCAAGTCACATAAAGACATGCTGTTCAGCATGTCTTTGAAAGGCACAATTGTGGCAGAGAGAGAACGGCAGAGAAAGTGATGGGGGGATCGCAGCCAAATCACAGTGTTGAGATAGTGTGTGCACTTGTGTGACAACCGCCTGGTGTTACCAAGACCCGAAGTGGCTCAACTAATTTCATTATGCCCTAATGAGCATTATAGATTATTGTGTAACCCAGACCTCACACTGATCAGGTTTTTCACTATGTAGTTCCTCAAATGTGCATATTATATTGACCAAAGTAACCAAGGGAATGCTCCCAATGCCCTTGATCCATCGGCATGCTTTTCAACACAGCTTCTCCTCCTCTCCCTCATTTCTCCCCCTCGTTTGTTATCCTCCTCCGCCGCCATTGGCTGCCTCCTCTCCATCTGTCCGTCCCCCCTGCTCACGGACAGCCAGTCAGCGGTACACATGTCTCTTCCACATTCGTCATTGGCTGGCGTGTGCTGTGAATGCGGATCCTTTCCTTTAAGAGGCAGTCTAGACTCAGCTGGCTGCACGGATTGCTCTCCTCTCTCTCGTTCGCTCGCTCGTTCCTTCTCTTTCCTGCAACACCACTACAACCTGCTGATTTATCTTTTTCCTTTCTCTCCTCCCGCCATCAGCCGTTCTCTTCCACTGTCATAATTTAATTTCTCGTCATATCACATGTTCACCCTTCAGTTTTAATCCTGGTCCATTTGTCTTTTTCAACCGAATATTTCCTTTCGTCTGTTTCTATCCCCAATACTGTCATTTCTGTCTTTGGCATTATTTCATGTCCACCACTTTCTCTCTCTCCGTTGATGTGAGAAGACATGAAGGTGAGTGGAGCTGATTTACAGGCCTACTCGTCTCTTTTTTCTGCTTTTTGTCTTAACCATAGCTCTTAACTTTATACGCCATCTGGTAAATGACAACTGCAGGACAGTGTCCTTGTTGACAGAGAATGCAGCTGTGTATAGTTCAGGTGTAACAATTAGATAGTGCCGGTAGTGATGCTACTGTGAGTCATCCTCTGACGCTGCATGTATGTTCTCTTGTCCTTTCAGCATGTGCCTACAGATGAAAGGTTAGTTGATGAGTGGAGGATGGGGGGGCTTTAAAATCATTGCGTGGAAAGTGTAGCCGTATGTCAATGCAGCCTGTAGATCGTGACAGTGTTTTGCAGCAGCTGTGCTGCAGTGGCATCTGAGGCAGATTAATGAGCACTGTATGGCAGCGAGTGATCACAGGAAGTTTCTCTTCAGTCAGGGAACATAACATAACAAAAGGTTCCAGAACCCAGTGCCGTAACAGGTTATTATGTTCTGTGAAGTAGCTGGATTGTCCACATTATCTTCCTTTTGTAAAATAATGTCAATATTCTCCACATGGTTTGAGCAACTTCCCTTAAATGTGTCCTCATCTAGGCATCTTGAAAAATATTCAAGCACGGATGACTTGTGGACCTAATTTAGTCTTGTTTCCCCACATAGTGTTTTCTGTGTCAGTGCCCTCATTATGTTTGTTATGTTTTGCCACCTGGCACCCACAGGAAGAAAATGTGTCATCCAGAAATAATCGTCAAGAGCATGTAGCCTCAGAGAGCATGTCACTCTCAAGTGATTTTATTTAGAGTATCTTTTTAAATGGGAAAGCAATTTAATTCTGGCTGAGTATGAGATGGTAACATACTGCTTTTAATGTATTATGCTTTTCTACCTCAGAGGAAAAATTACCACACACACACACACACACACACACACACACACACACACACACATATATATATATATATATACACACACACACACACACACACCACTGCCATTCCAAGACGCTGGCCTGCCCATTGGGAGCAATTTTGGGTCAGTGTTGACTTGCGAGAGTACACTTAGACATGTGGACAGAAGCAGCGGAGGATTTAGCTGGCAACCATTAGTGGATGACCTGGTCTACCTTCTGGGAAACAGCAATCCCCAGATAGTAAAGTTTCATACAATCATACAAACTCGAAGAAATCTCCAATATTAGAAAATCTCATCTAATGGCAGTAACAACTGGTGGGAATACTTGGATTTAAAGTTTTCTAAAAGAGAGTTGCATATGTTTGTAAGAAGAAATACTTAAACTAAATATTCTCAACTTGTCCATAAATTACCAATCTCCCATTTTCTGGAGTCTATGGAGATGATTCCAAAAGTGGTAGCCACGGTTACATCAGTTTAACAACATCACGAAAACATCATAATGAGTCGTCAATTAAAATCCGCCTGAGATTAATTGGGCAATTATAATCCAAAGTAGCTGCACTCAAATATTGCTAGCTTTCATAAAATCAAGAGCAATCACCTCGGACAGCTCCCACATCCCTGGTGGTCTCCGGTTCAGCACCCTGGACAGCGGTCCTGACACACTTTAGTGCATAAGGTTATAAAAGATTCACCTGAGCTCAACATGGAAGCTGTATGTGACTGTAGGATTATCTATTTATTGTAACAAACATATATCACAGCTGAACATTAAACAGTTACTCGCAATAGTGTTCTTGGTACTTGGATTCCTGCTGCCAGATAAAGTCAATTAACCTGAGCCGCTGCCCCTCGAAAAGAAAAAGGTGGGCTTTAAGAAATAAATGCAAGGCTCTCTGACACATTATCAGTATTTCATTCCATGTGGCCTTTTAAACCAACTCTATTTTGTTGTGTAGAAATTGGAAATTCTGCATGTCATATCAACACACACAATCCCTCCTGTGATACAAAACCTACCCACCCACTCCTCTACAAGCCATTAAAAATGTCTCGTAAGCTGTGACAAGGGGGGACGATAAAAGAGGCGAACAAACCAAAACGGAAGAGATTGTTTTGAGGAAGCAGAGACACTGACTGACGGCGCAATCTTCACGGGGGGAAAAAAATCCTCTATTGGCTGCGCGGAAGCTAGTGCTCGCTGTTTCTCTCGGAAATGTAATTAGAACGCCGGTAGGCGCCGACACTTCCGGGTTGGGAGTATAGTCAGGGAAGACGGCATAAAACCCGGTCTGGACTAAATACCCAGACCTGACTACACGAAGCAGTGTAATCTGTATTTATTTAAAGTGTTCTGTGGGAGGATGGGGAAATTAAACGAAGATGTGTTTTCTGTGGTTGGTGAACTGAACTGAAACTAATACGCTGTGTGGATTATTGTTTTGGAATAACCGGGAACTGTACAAAGAAAACCTGGAACGGAGTTTTGTGGATTATGTTATTTTTGTTGGACTATTTTTCATGAACTATATTGATTACACTTTTTTCACTCACATGGGACTCATTGTTTTGTAACTATTGAATATATCATTTGTCTGCATTTAAAGAGATGTGTTGTGTGTTTTTGTTCAAAGGTATTAATTTACTATATTGAAAATATAGAAATATTTTACTGGTTAAGAGGGACATGTGCTGTATGTTTTTCCTGTCGCTAACATGTACCCTTTGTAGGGTTTGACTTGATCTTAACTCTAAATTGTCAGGCTTGACCTGACTGGCACCCAGCAACTATAGTCAAACCGCTACAACTGTATGTAATATGTGCATGTCTAAATTTAAACACTTTATCCTTAACAACTATTAAAAACACAACTTGTCCCTCTGAGTGAGTTTCTGCACCTCATCTCAAACATCTCTCCTAAATTATTCTACTTGGCCAAAAAGTCATTCCTTCCCTCCGGTATCAATGGCTGTGAGTTTTCCATTAATTCCAGCATTTTACTGTTTCATCTCCAGTTTATGCTCTGCATCCTAATGATCAGCAATACAGCAACATACTCCTGTAATGCATTCTTACCCACTTGAAAACATAACCTTCAGAAAGTTTGCATAACATTATATGCAACACATTTTATTAAGGTAGTGAAGTCTTTAGTGGTTTCGCTTTCAAAATGCTTCAAAGCTTCAAGGTCCCAATGAATCATTCATTAAAGCAGCGTGAATGCTCACAAGTCACACAGCTTGATCGTGTAGCCTGAGGTGGTGAGGACCCCTACTAAAGATCATAAAGCCAATCTTTTGGCAAGAAATCTGTTTTATAAAAGCTCTGTTTGGCTTGTAAGACATGCATGAATCCTGGCACATACTGTGTTCTCTGGATATTTGCTGTATGTACAATAGGGCTGAACGATTAATTGATTTTAAATTGAAATCGCGATTTGAAATGATGCGATTATCAAATCGCAAAGCCTGCAATTTATTTTAGCATTTGTTTTGTTTTGTTCTTCTTGTGTGTCAGTCATCCACACCAATCAGAAGTGCTGTGCTCCACATGTACCAGCCATTGTTAACCAATCAGAAGTGGCCCATGATAGAAGGTGATAGATAGATTGATCCATTCACCTGCCAAGTATTTTTGAAAGTGCCTACCCATCGAAAAATCGATGAAACTAGACATTTCACAGATTATAGGGTGAAGGTCGACATGTACTTCATACGGCTTTGTCTGGGCCCTCAGGCTGTCACTTTAGTCCCTTAACATGCTGACTATTTCCTGTAGCGCTGACGAGGCTATTGAAGTTGGAGCAGATGTTTTTATTCCACTTAAACAAGGACAGAGGGACTGTTTTTATCTCCTGTGTAGCACAGCAGTCAATTAGAGGACTCCACAGGTTAACCCTAGACGACTTGGCCCTGGAGAAAAATAGTTTTTATGTGCGCAACTGGGAGAGGGGGCATGTGAGCTTGTGGTTACAGCAGGACCAGGTCTTCAGACTGGACTGAGCGTCAGCTGCAGCTGTCATGTTGAGTTTCCCTGTTTAGAAAATTGTAGACCTGATTAAAAATGCCTGGTACGTGTGAATACGCCTACACTAGAGTCACTTGTGATCGTCTTTCCTCCTTCTCTCACTTCAACGATGGACTCCCTGCTTTGTATGGTGTGGCGTCAGACTGTTCCCTCTGTGGAGCTGTGTCTTGTGGAGTGCCGTGTTTGACTGTGGTCCTCTGGTGGCTGAGGTGTTCCCCGAATTAAACATTTACACAGTGTCTTGTTTAAGTCCTTCAAGGTCTGCTACTGTGACTACATTGACTGTGAAATATGTGTTTATACAGCACTTCTCAAAAGAGATTTTCAAACAATAAAACCAGATTATGAAACGAGACGTATACACAAATTATTTAGGGTTTCTCATAATAACGTGCCTGCTGTTGCAGATTTAACAGCATTTTAATGTTTCTGATAAACAAGTCTACATGAGAACCAACGGTACATCACATGGAGCACTTAAGGAATGATTTTACAGCTTCAGATAAAGATCAGAGACCTACTTAGGATTGTATTGTTATGTTCGATCATGAATTAATAACTTAGGTAACCTTTTAGTAGACTTGAGCAGTATAAAGGTATTACGGTATACCAGGACATTTAAAATTCCCGAGGTGATGTTATTCAATACTTTTTAAAAATGCAAACACTCCTCTTAAACTTATACAGTCACGGTTCTTAACAGCATATTTAAAGCCCAGCAGGACAAAGTTAGCTCCCTGCCGGGCATAAGCATCAGGGATTTCAAAACAAGTACAGATAAATACTATAATATACCGTATACCCAGGTGAAATGTCAGGAAGGTGTGAGAAAACACAGACCTTACAAGCCTTCTTTTTTGGTAGCAATACTCATGATGGACACAATTGTATGACTTGAGGTTATGGACTTTTGGCCCAGAAGTCTCAGACCTCTCTCTAAAGACTCTTTAAGTCCAGGAGCTGTGATCCTTTCACTCTGATCCTGCGCTCTGATCTCTGGAAGCGGTTGAGAAGAGAATTTTCCCTCAAGGATCAGTGAAGTACCACATATTTTTATCTCAATTCTTTCTGGGATTTCGCAAAACCCTGAGCTCTCTTTTCCTGACAAATGTCCATTGTCACTTTAGGTACTGGAACCATATCTTTGAGGGTCTTACTCAGACCTGATTAAAAACAAAGTATTGTCTATATTCACATGTGTTGTGGTTTGATAATAGGATAAAGCATATCCGTATGTGACCTCAACTGTTCCAGATGGGGATCTTGGTTGGGAGGAGGGAGCCATAACGTGCCGCAGGTTATAAGAAAACCTCACCCCCCCGCGATGGGGAGCATAGTCGTGTTCATGCTGAGGGAATGTGCTACTCCGGCCTGCAAGCTGTTTACATTTAATGCTCCCATTAACATTTGGCTTAACCGTAGAAGGAAGTGTGCGGCTATTAACCCCTATGAAAGGACTGATTATGTGGCATAGTCAAAGTTAAAAGAGGAGAGAGAACCCAGACCAAGTCGTTTGTGACGTAGAAGTTTCTCAGGGACCACCAGAGGCTTCAGTGTTGGTGGCCTTATTTCTGAGGCATGTTGCCATTGTTGTGATGTAAATAAGCCTTGTGGAACTTAACAGGGACGTGGGAAGTGTTGCCTGTTGTTTTTGTGGATCTGATGTTATCCTCCTATCAAATAAATAGGAAGGAAGTGCAGAGCCTAGCTTTCTAATCACAACAGAGTCAGTGGATCCCCTAACAACCACAACTGCTATTTTATTATGGCTACAATTAACAAGTATTTGATTAATCAATTAATCATTCCATCTACTAAATGTAAGAAAATAGTCAAATATGCTCAATACAATCACGTTAAAATATCTTGTGTTGTCCAACCAAGTCCAACAACTGAAATTATTGGAAAAAAACGTTATGAAACCAAGCATCAGATATTTACTTTGCTATAGCTGATGAAAGGTTTTATTTGTTAAAAAGGATAGGACTTTTCTTTAGATCAATTAGTCATTTTAGGTCTATACTTTATTATTCTTTTATCATCATTATTCAAAACACTGATCAATTCACAGGCATTCTGCTTATTGTCAAATTTGACTTTATAGTTTGATTTATTATTAACATCTTTTATAATGATCTTTTCACCCCTTTTCAACGTTTTTTCGTTTAATTGACAACAATTGATTCAAGCAGAACCAGGGAAGTTAGTGTTTCTACTATACAATCAGCTTACTTACCTGAGCCCAAAAAGTGCAGTTTTGTGAACTTAGCCCCCCCCCCTGCAGCAGTGAAACACACTGCTGATGTTCTTACTGCATTGCAGTCTTAACTTTTTTCATTTTGTACTGCAGCAAAGCCTTCGATTTGTTTGAACTTGTACTCCAAAGCCTGTTACCAAACGTGTGTGTACCTTTGACTGTCACCAGCACCATAGAGTAGTGCTCAGGCTAAATGAGCAAAGATTAGAAAAGTGAGTACAATTTTCTGAGCAAACGTCCACCGACTGTATTTCAGTGAAATCAGCGTCATGTGATTTAAAAACATTTAATACCATTGATAATTCTGCCTAATATAAGTGTATGCATTAGTGTGTCAGACATAACAATGATAGTGGTCAGGATAATCTGGTCTAATATAAAAACTAAATTCTAAATGAATGTCAAAGGCTATCTGGATGTGTGGCAAAGGGAAAAGCTGTGAAATAAAAGTAGGTAGTCATGTCAGCTGCCCTGTTGTGTTGGGGATGAGGTGTTAACAGTGTACTCTTCTGTTGGGAGAATTGCTCACCTCTCACTCTGGATACTGTGGTCTTATTATAGCCTCAGCGCTAACAGCAGGCCCTCTGAAAGGTCTGATTTGATTTCTTTGAAGTGCAGGCTTCAAGTGATGTCCTAATGTGGCTATCTGAGATGTTATCAGCTTTCCCCTCATTTCATCAAAGCCCATTCTGCATTGTCATCATCCATACTGAATCTGTTTTGTCTTCATAGACTCCCTCCTTACTCTCTGGTCCCTCCCCCTTTTATTTTCTCGTCAGGTGTTGTCAGATGGTTGATGCTGTTGAAAAAGGGTAATCACGGGTTTTAACACTAATCTGTTCCTGTGTCTCTTGTCTCTCTGGCAGGTGAAGGATTGTACGGACACCCCGTCTCACACTAAGCTATGGAATGCTCCCTGCACCCACCATCACTAGTCTCCAATCTTTGGACTGAACTCAAAACGCTTAGTTAGCGGCTGTGCTTCTCCCCTCAAACTCTTTATAACCAGGGGACGAAGAAAAGGGGCGGACTTACCTCAACCGCTATAAGCGCACAGAGCACTTTTATTTTTTAAAGAATCAATAAGCTATTTTTGTCTTTTTCTCCACTTGGATTTTGCCCCCCGTGAAAACATACCAAGATGGATCTAGAGCCGTATCTGTGGATGGTGATCCTTGGCTTCATCATTGCCTTTGTTCTAGCCTTTTCTGTGGGCGCCAATGATGTGGCCAATTCTTTTGGCACAGCAGTGGGGTCCGGCGTGGTCACATTGAAGCAGGCCTGCATCCTGGCGTCTATCTTTGAGACCCTTGGCTCAATGCTGCTGGGGGCCAAAGTGGGCGAGACGATTCGGAAGGGCATCATAGACGTCTCCCTTTACAACGAGACGGTGCCTACACTCATGGCAGGGGAGGTCAGCGCCATGGTCGGTAAGTTTGGCAAATTTTTACATCAAATATGGAGCTGAAATGATATGTTGACTATTCTATATTCAAGAAAAATGCATTCTCTGCAGTCACTTGAATATCTTTCGGTTTTTGAAAAAACATGCAAGAAAATGTCTCCTTGGGTTCTGGGAAATCAAAGCCACCATTTAAAAAGAAAAGTGTAATCCAGGGAGTTGGGTAATTGCTGCTTATGACTCACTTTAGAAAGTCACACTAATGAGTAATAATTACATGACATATGAAACAATTAGCAGATCATGAAATGAGTTAACCTGTAACTTTCTTTTGATTTGCCAAGTTTCTCTATTTAAGGTTCAGGTTCAGGTTCTTTATTTGTACCCATAGTTAGATTTTGTTTGCAGAGAAAAAGGGGATCCATCCTGACACACTCTAAAAACAAACACAAACAACAGACACATCTCTAATGAAAGGACTAATAAAAAGTACAAGTACACCAAGTACAAGTACATCCTGCTCTGTCAAATCTCAAAATATTTCTAAAACATTTAAGAAGAAAAACACTAGTACAAACACTAGTACAAATATTTTTGGATTTGTACAGTTGGTCGGACTAAATAATAGATAAAAAAATGTTGTACAAATAATCAACAAATTAATCTGACAGTATATAGTTAGTTGCAGCTTTAAAATATGTATCAACAGAAACCTCTGTGATTACCACTGTAAAGATGTAGAACGTGTTTGAGTAAAATACTTCCATAGGTTAATATGCTGTTGATGTTGTTTGGGATATTTGTTGAATAGATGAATTTTAGGACTGCAACAGATATTGAACAGTACCTATCACAAGTTCTACAGTCCATTATCTAATCGTTGTTTGCAATTACATAAAACAGAGGAAGCCAGAAAATCCTCTCATTTGAGAAGCAAGAATTAAATGTTTGGCATGTCTGCATGTTGCTCATAATTTATCTACTTTCAGATAAACCTTATGGGAGGTTTCGCTAATGTTAATCAAACTGGCAGCATTTAAACATTTCCAGAGGAAAGCCTGCCATTGTCCTCATATTTAAACACATTTACAGTAAAACACAAGCCAGTACTGTTGTGTATTCACAGTGGCTTTACACATCAACACCAGATTACCTTAGTGAATGAATGGAGCAGCACAATGGGGCTCCCATTGAGACAATGCCATTTTAATGACAGAGGGACTGCTGGGAAATGGTGATAAATAAAGGCAACATTATGCACGGGGGATTCCTGTGTCACTGGAAATGTAGTTCTGTTGCCGCCAAGAGTTGGGAGTGTTTGGGAAACACTGACCAATTTTTCTTTATCTCAAACACCATTATTGTTTATACAAAATTAGAATTTGTACCTTCTTAAACACATTCACTTAAATCAGGAAAATGCATCCAGAAGGTTTACAGAAAACAAAATATACAGTATATGTCAATTACTAATTTAGTGCTTTAAAGAAAACCTCCAAGGCCTGACAAATGATCATTCAAATAATGAACTGTGTTGCCCGATAAATTGACCTGTGGGAAGAGATTGTGTTAACAGATCCTTTGTGAAGGATGTCTTGTTAAATCAATGTTTGTCATCATTAGCTCCTGGCTACAGATTCATTTTGTGCTGCAGGCTTTCAGTAAATCCCATAAAAAGTATTTATTAGAGAACTAAAATCCCATTAAATTACAAGTTCTACATTTACTTTATAATCTCATTTGGCAATTATACATTTGAGCGGTTTTCAAGATTATATTTTTTAACTACTCTGAAAAATAATGTCTCTGCAGATTTCATTTATACTGATACAGACTCATCTCTGCCAACTTTTATAAACAATTCAAAATGTATTAAATCCAGGAAAGTAAAAAACAAACTGTGGATAGATTTCACCATTTTATATTTATTAGCACAAAATTATGCATTTTATTGATGTGGCATTATTCCTCTAGTTTACAGCATATTAGTGTCACTGGTCTCCCAGAACAACATTTTGTTTGTGATAATGTTGGGGGAAAACTAAGTAAACGATGAAATGCCTGAAAGATGTCTGAGATTTGTGCGTCTGTTTCCCAGGGTCGGCTGTCTGGCAGCTGATCGCCTCCTTCCTCAAACTGCCCGTCTCTGGGACTCACTGCATTGTTGGCGCCACCATCGGCTTCTCCATGGTCGCCATCGGCACCAGGGGCGTCCAGTGGATGCAGCTTGTCAAGATTGGTAATGACTAAGATCAGTTTGTGTGTGTTTTTACAATGTTTACGATTGAAAAATGACATCATGTAAACTAAACCTCGCTACAGTGAGATATCCAGTACGGTTTGTTTGTTCTCTGTTTGCTCTGAAAAACATAAACCGAAATAATTAGTTTGATTTAACAAGGATGTCTCCCTCGACCATTTTACACAGCGTGTAATCTCTACTACAAGAGGCAGAGTTCACAATGTCTCCACCATTAGTGGTCTCAATGGACCAGGATGCAGTGCAGTCCTGAGATTTACTTGAAAGTGAAATAAACTCTCATTTACCTCAGCTAAAGGGAGAACCTCTGGCTATTGCAAACACAATAATTTTAAGAAATGTAAAACAATACTGAAGTAAATAAGGAACAGAGGTGAATAATTGGAGCAAAAGGACAGCTGTAACCCTGAATAATGGCTTCCTGATGATCCTGTATCAATGGGTGACTGTAGTCTGCTCCTTTTTTTGCTGATTATGTTCTTTCTCCTCCCTCTCCAGTGTCATCATGGTTCATCTCCCCTCTGCTCTCTGGACTCATGTCTGGACTCCTCTTCTTGCTCATCCGACACTTCATCCTCAATAAGGTGGGTTAACAAAAGGGCATGTATACTGTTTTTTTGGCAATGTTGTAACACTAACTGTGACTTTATCATCATAACAAAATTGTAGCTTCAAAGAATTAAAACCAAAATATCTCTTAATTTTCCTTTACTAAAAAAAGAGGAGAATCAGAGTTGTTTCCTGTGCTTCGCCTGCTTTATCAGGAATAGACCGTCGGCACACATTAAGCCCAGTCTACTTAATCAAACTTAAAACTACATGGTTTGAAAGATAAAAACTAGGTTATATTTGGCTTCAATAGATTGACTAAACTATGCTGAAATAGTAACTGCTTTCTTTGAGTAAGATAAGACTAAAATACCCAAGTTAAGTAAAACCTAACTTAAAAAAAGTGGACAAAAGAAAAAGTTTTCTAATTTGTATTTCTGGTTAAATTGTATTTTTAGCCCAAAAGTATGTTGTAAACATGTATGTTTTTAAGCTTTTAAACGAAGGCACTGGAATTCTTAATTATTTTTAAACTAAATACTTTCATAAACGTCCATAAAGTGTATGGTTAGAGTTTATCGGTCCACACATTTTAGTAATACAATCTAGATGCAAACAAACATACACGTGTACACACAGACCTGTCCACAGGAGTTCAGCACAGCTTGGCCAAACCTCCATTTGGAAACACTCACAGATCTGTTGTTGTGTAACAGGCCATCTCTGGAAGTGAGGAAGAGAAAAGTGTGGTAGATCATGTGGAGGTCAGGACTGCAGGACCCTGTGTCAATGACTCCTCCTTCAATGTGTTTAATCATATATTCTTTTTTTTCATTTTAATTTAATCGTTTATTTGAACCGGGACAGTGCACATTGATGAACACTTTAAAACAAAAATAATGCTTACAAGTGTAAATGAGCCGTATTTTAGCTTTCAGCTAATTTCCATCCGTAGTCCCGTCACATACAACATTTAAGAACATGACATTTATATACATAGCAAAAATAAATACATGATATGCAGAAAGAGCATGAGCAGCATACAAGCATTTACCACATGGCAGTACAATGTAGCAGCTATGATATATAAAGTGCAAGATAAGATAAAAGTGCTACATAAAGTGAAAGAGGAGATACCCCTGTGTTAAAGTGCATTGAGCGGTGATTACACGTCTGTCTGTTGCTCAACCATTCTTTAAGTTGACCTTTGAAGCTATTGAGAGTGGGACAATCCCGTATCTCAGTTGGGGGGCTATTCCGGAATGAGCTGCCCTTAATGGAGAGGACATTTTGTCCAAAAGTGGTCCGTCTATGGTGGACTTCACAGTCTCCTCTGGTTTCTGACCTAGTGCAGCGTCCAGTTTGTTTTTTCCACACAAAAAAAACACTAAACATTTATAGAAAAAGCATATACTTTTAAAAGACTTAAAATGGTCAAAACTCAAGAAATTGTGTTTTTCAAGGATGGCACAGTGGTGGTATGAATATGGCTTTCTGTCAAACACCTGGATAGCTCTCTTGAACAGCTGTTCTATGGGTTTCAGGTTTGTGGCACAAGCAAACGACCAGTTTGTCAAACAGTATTCAATGTGGGATAGAATCATACAGTGGAGGTATGACTTTGCAGCATTGACAGTTAAGAAAGGTCTAATTTGTTTAAAATGTTGCAAGTTCAATTTAATAGTATTTGATACTTTCTTGATATGTTTCTTAAAAAGTCAAGTTTGAGTCCATTATGACTCCAAGATACTTGAACTGGGAGACTAGTTCTATTTCTGCTCCGTTTACTGAACATCATGCATACTGTTTTTTTTTTTTTTCATTTAACTGTAAGCAAATGTTGTTCAGCCAATGTTGAACCTTGTCCAAAGCATTTGAGAGACAGGATGAGATCATTTCAGTGTTTTTCCCATGTACCAAGATGACCGCATCATCGGCATACATTTGCACATTCAACTCAGGACATACATTAGGAAAGTCATAAATGTACAGTGAAAACAGTAATGGTCCAAGAATGGAACCTTGTGGAACCCCCACAGGGTTCACATGGTAGGGAGATTTGACTCTGTTGACCAAAACACATGTTTTCTGTTCGATAAGTAAGACTTAACCCACTGAAAAATTGAAATACGTCTGCTTTGTAAGGAGCACTTGGTGGTCAACAGTGTCAAAAGCCTTCCTAAGATCAAGGAAGACAGCACCTACATATGGGCTTGTGTCCAACATACATTTAACCTTTTCCACAAAGACACAGTTAGCTGTCTCAGTGGAGTGGTGAGCACGAAAACCAAACTGCATTGGGTGGAGTGGAGCGAAACCTTTGTCTAAATGTTTGGCAATTAGTTTTGACACGACTGTTTAGTTTGTGGAGGTGAGGCTCAAAACCTCTGCAGGGCGTTCATATTGCACTTTAGATCATAATAGCAGTAAACAGCACATTGTAAAATAATTAAGTGTCTTACTTTTACACTGACCTAATTTTCTCTCCACACATTGAACCTGTTCTGAATATCTCACTTCCTTTTTTTCACTTCCCAAAGAGATTACATTTTTAAATCGTATATTACAAAAGAACTAATCAGAACCATTGAAAAGCTTAAGTTCACAGAATGTTTTGCGCTTTTGGTATAAAAAAAGAATCACTGAAACTATTTACAGGTTATCAAAATAGTTGCTGATCAATGTGTTTTGCTCCACAGGACGACTCCGTCCCTAATGGCCTGCGAGCCCTGCCTGTCTTCTACGCGTCCACTATTGGAATCAACACTTTCTCCATCTTGTACACTGGAGCCCCAGGTAATGATACTGAGATACCAACTCTGTTCAAACCTTCAAAAATTCCTTTAAAGTTGTTTCGAGAGCTTGAGAAGATTATAATACTTCAAAACTACTTTCAAAATGTTATTTTCTTACATTTTCTTATTGTCTGTCCATTTATTGCAGTGCTTGGGATAGAGATGCTCCCGGTGTGGTCGATCTTTCTAATTACTTTAGCCGGGTCGCTGATCTGTGGAGCTGTGGTCTGGTTTTTGGTCTGTCCCTGGATGAGGAGGAAAATAGCGGGTAGGTGTCTGCGCCTGTGTGTATGTGTGTGCTTGCGTGTGTCCAGTCTTTCTCACGCCATCTAAAAAGCCGGGCGCTCTGACCCAGGCCTCACAACGGAGCCTCAACGTCTGTTTGCCCACTCTGTGCTCCAACACCAAACAAGGGATGCCAGCGGATGTTTTCTCTCGCTGCCTTCTGCCAGAGACACTGAAGGCACCAAAGAAACTCTGTGAACTCTGAGGAGTGCTCCTGTTGCTTTCCTTACACACTTTAGAAATCCTCTAGCTTCATATTTCCTTGGCCTGATGCAGGGGTTCAGATCATGGCCTGGAGCTGGAAAGCTTTCGGAATTATTTCTCTAATGGAAAAATCAGCTTGCAGCACAGCAGACGACGCTGTAAAACATGACACAGTAAATAAAACAGTGGAAAGAGCAGCTGCTGGATATAAGCAAGGCAGTCTGTCTTTGAATGTTTTACTTAATGTCATGCAGACAAATAAGAACTCTTGTTTATTTCCACAATCCAAAGACTAAGGCCAGTCTGAGTAATACTTCCAAATTAAGACATTATAAATGCTGATATGAAAATATAATCTAAGATAATATGAGATAGTCTCACAGTTTGACAGACCTTAAACTAAAGAACTAAAGAGCTGCTCTTATTGAGGCAGCAACATTGAGGCTTAAAATAGAACGATTGTTTGTCAAACTTTCCGAGCCTGCACGCGGCCGATCTGTTGCTCAACGTGTTGCGACCTCTGAATGCCGGTGAGGATTATAGGTGATATTATCGCTCCTAATCTGGATATTGCTGCATCCGTCAAACTGAAGCAGGTGGTGGCTGACTTTATGTGTGTGTACTGAGGGGTGTGTGAGGAGTTGTGGGGCATCAGGTCAGTCAGCACTGGGATTAGTCAGGATCAGCTGATGGCTGTACTTGTGTTTGTGGAATGTTGCTGCATAGTTTTCTCAATCAAAATCAGGCAATTTATTATTGATATTATTTCAGAGTAACTATACACTTTCACTAAAGAGGCGTTGGAACAATTTAAGTGAAAAAATGATCTGAGTTTCAACTTGCCAAATTATTGATTCACGGCTCTAATTGGAAATAGTCCAAAAAAGCTTTACTGTACAACCTCAGTCTTTACTACCCCCGTTTGACTTTATAATGTTCCACTTTCATACTGTAAATGATTACCTAGACATATCAAAATAAAACCCTCACATGTTAATACTAGGGCGGTCAAGTTAACGCGTTAATAATTATTTTAACGCGATTAACTCATGTGCATTTTTTGTCCTCGGCCGCCCCGTAGTTTCAGAGCGCATCGAGTTTAAAATACCATCTATACAATCCAAGCACACTGCTGATGCCGACAGCCCCGCTCCTGCCGCCCGCTTGCATTAGACCACACTTGAAAGTGTGCGGGGGAGACGCCCGGGCACGTCAACGAGCAGCAAACTTTCAACAAAGATCGCTAAATGGGTGGAAACAGCTTGAAGGCCAATTAACATTGTGGAGGACGAGGGGCTGCGTGATATAATTCGGGTAGCATCCAACGAATGCACTTATGAATTGCCTTCCAGAGCCACCACTGTGTCGAAAATACACAACTTGTATGAAGTCCAAAAAGCGAAAGTAGAGGAGGATTTAAGAAGACTAATGGACCTCACTCAGTAATACAGTCACCTCGGGGTCACAGCGCATTATTTTGACCCACAGTGGGAACTTNAATAGTACTGTATGGCATCAAGAGAATGTGTTGAAGATGTTTTTGAAATAAGAAGTGAGTGCGTAGTCATGCAGAAGAGCAACAGATCTGGCCTAGTAACAAAAAACAGTGAAAGGAGATGAGGAGTCAATTAAGACATTTCAGTACATAAGCAGACCTACCTGAAGTCGGGGTCCCCCGTAGTAGATGTATCACATTATACAAGAGGCATTGTTTAGTGGTGATAATCCCCCGTATTGGTAAGTAGTCTTGTATTGATTGAGATTGCATGTTGTAGCAATTAGCACCCTGCCCCGATCAGGCCGATGTGTTGTATCTGTCCTTGTCCTGCAACATAATGATGCCGTGTGTTGCGGGGGCCCCTGGGTCTTGTAACACGATGAGTCCAGCAGCAGTTAGACAGGAGTGACTCAAGTGCAGCATCCGACCGTGATGTCGGAGTCTCAGCCTCCACACAAGGTTAACAAGCAGTGGGGCTTAGTGAATTAATATCAGTTGACAGAGCTTCAGTGTTTGTCCTTGCAATTAAGGGTCTGATGTAAATGTGTGATAATGTGAGATTTTTTCTGTATGAGCTCGCTTCGAGGGGGTTTTACAAGTTCAAGTGAGGTCTGTGTTTATATTGCAAGCCTTGAGGCCATACTAATTTAATGATGGTATTTTAAACATTCACACCTCATGTCACACAGGCTGTAACGCTCAGGACTTTCTTCCCTTGAAAGCATGAAATGTAAAGCCTGGTTTGAAACGAGTGTTACGATTAGTAGATTAAACGCTTGAAATTTGTAAGCATCCTGGTCATCTATGAAGCAACACATTACCATATTTTATGTAATTTATGTAGCAATATTTTCATTCTGAGTTGTTTGTTGGACAAAACAAGAAGCTAGGATGCGCTCATTTCTGCCAAGCATTTTTTAATAAAGACATTAATCCGTCTGAGAAACTTTATGTTTTTTTTATTAAGAAAAGCCTTTGTTTTATTTGTGTGTGATGCCAGCTTTATGAAACTAAACTTTCTTTATGCCATCTTTTTCTTTATGTCTGTCACATTTTATATCGGGGTTGAACACATTTCTGTATAATGTCATCGGTTGAATAGGTGCTGTTGAACTCTATCAATTAACACCACAAACTATTTCAACAAAAAATTAAAAATGTCACCTTCATTAAAGTAGGATTTATTTGAGTAAGTATTTAGTGGACTGCATTAGCTTAAGCCATGTTTAACTGGCTACACTGGATTTTGTGAATTGATAGTTATAATGTATATGGTGTCGATAGTAATTTATCACTTTTCTGATTGGAGGGAAATTGACAGTATTAATCAGTAATTGTAATAATCATAAGTTGCAGCCCTTGTTAAAATGTGATCCTTTTATTTATCATCCATTTGCACCTAATCATATTTATTCCTAACATTTATACATATCTGTATTCCTATATGAACAGTCGTGGTCAAAACAGTCTTTCACCAGAGCTTTATTTCCACATTAATCCTTTCTATGTTTTGTTTCTGTGTGGAGGTGCGGGCTGCTGCAGGTTGGGGACCGGCTGCTGTCCATTAACGGGATCCCGACTGAAGATGGCACTTTGGAGGAAGCCCATCAGCTGCTCAGAGACTCTGCTCTGGCCAATAAGGTCACAGTGGAGATTGAGTTTGATGTCGCAGGTATCATATTGTGAAGATACATTCTTATAATGTGAGATCTCAGTCTCAATTTGTGCCTTCATACTTACATTTATCTTCAAATGTATCTTCCCTTTAAAACCAAATTAGAGTCAGTGGTTCCCAGCAGCGGCACTTTCCACGTCAAACTACCCAAGAGGAGAGGAGTGGAGCTGGGCATCACCATCAGTGGTGAGTTTGTTAGGATAGACCATGGGTGTCCAAACTACGGCCCGGGGGCCGAATGCGGCCCGCAGACAATTTTGACTTGGCCCTCAGCAAATTCAAAAAGTATAATGGAATATCTCTTGTATTGTACTTCTTAAATATAAAAATATATTACACAGTAGTATTCATGTGTTTAATAAAACCACTTTTTGAATAAATTCAGTCAATTAAAGTTGGAAGCATTTTCTAACATATTGATAAGAAAAAATCCCAATGACTTATTTACATAACAAGCTTGAAATACACCCTTCATATTTCTCCTTATTATAATCAATCTGAGGCTTCTGTTTTAAGGGATGAGCTGCCAACACTCACAAGCATCATTTACCTACATTTGATTGCTAACTTATAACTGAACTTATGAGGCAATATACCTCTAGGGAACAGCCCAGCCCTTCCTATATTTTTCTGTGTGTGGCCCTCGGTGGAAAAAGTTTGGACACCCCTGATCTAGATGAACAGCAGAGGGCAGTGTCGCTTAAAAATACCTCACAGAGCTGCATGCCTTTGAATCAGTGTTCTGTGATCCATAAAACTCAGGCTTGAAAGACCATGAGGGCTCATACCTCATTAACTCTGAACAATACCAGACTGTACCATCATTCATCTTCACTCAATGTGCCCTGAATAAACAGGAGGCCGAGTATGATTAGTGCAACAAAGAGAAAATGAAGTTGAGTTATTATTAAGTGGTTAATCAAAAAACTTCATAATAAAAACAATTAAATTGTTCTTCTTTTTCACCAGCTAGTAAAAAACCTGGAAAGCCCCTCATCATCTCCGACATCAGAAAAGGAAGCATAGCACACAGGTATGTCCTATCATCATAAATGCTTGTTCATTTTAACATTGTATTCCTCTCACAGGGCTATAGAATATCATTTAGTTGTTATGAGTACAGAAATGGTCATTGGCTATAGGACACATTAGGGTGACACTGTTTCTCAACACTTTACAGTTCAGGGTAAACTATGTTTTCCTGCCTTGTGTGGGATTACTCCATTACAAAATAACATTGTTTTGTGAATCCACTGTGTAATACAAACCTAATTTGGTTTGAGCTTTTCAAACGGGATCAGTAGGACAGAGCAGCTCCATTTCAGAAGGGCTCGGGGTGAGGGGGAGGTTATGGTGACCCCCGAAGGATCCCACTGAGACACAATATGACTCAGGAGGAGCAGCTCCCTGGTCTTAGTTAATAGCTGTGATCTTTCTCGCTCCTGTGTCCGGTAGAACAGGCACTCTGGAGCCTGGAGACCGGCTGCTGGCCATCGACAGCGTGCGTCTGGAGAACTGCTCCATGGAGGACGCCATGCACGTCCTGCAGCAGGCCGAGGACATGGTCAAACTCCGAATCCAGAAAGACGAGGACAACATTGGTACATTTATCGCTTGAAACGCAAAATATGCATTCTTTGCAAAGTAACCAAACACAAAAACGTTTGTACTTAGTACAATTTTTAAATATTAAGTATTTACATTTGATGCATCTTTATAAGACCACAACATTTATAGGAAATAATTGTAGTTCTTACATCACTACATTTATCCTAAAATGTTACTAGTTACCCTTCAGATTAATATTTTATATAAAATGACAAGATGGGCTTCTAAAATAATATTTGTTGGCTTTTTGTCTCATTTAAATGACTTTAGGCTCTTAGCTGTTGAAGCAAGATACACTTCCCCTTTTAACTTCTCCAGTTGTTTCGTTTGAATAACTGAGGAATTTTTTTTTTTTGTGTGTAGCTAACCCTTTTGAACTTTGAACTTCCCGAACCCCATTAATTATCTTACAACCCCTCATACTAATCTAGTGACCCTTTGGATGGGGCCTCACCCCTAGATTGGGAACCTACTAACAGGGCCGCGAGAAACAAAGATTTGGTCCGGCTCAAAATAATGGACTAATTGTTCGTATAGATCTAAGGAAAGTGTAACGGATATCTATCCCAGGTTCCCAGAGCCCAAGTTTACATATTCAATTGTTTTGTCATTAAAAAGTCCAAATATATGAAGTGCATTACAAAAGAGAATTAAGAAAACCAACAAATAATAATATTCATAAACCTGGAATCAATGAAATTAAGTAGTTTACGAGATATAGTCATTTTAAAATTGTTCTATTGGTAATTGTACTCTTTAACTTGAGGATTAAATACGTTTTCTATCACAATTCAAAAGGTTATGCTCTGTTATTTGTCCATTTGCACAGACTTTTAGAAAATATATTGTATTCTATCTTGGAGTATTTAATGTTCGTTTTAATCTTGAGTTTAATGCGTTTCCTCTATTTGCTGTAGATGAGTTGGAGATGTCGGGCTCTATAATCTACACAGTGGAGTTAAAGAGATATAACGGACCGCTGGGCATCACGATCTCTGGGACAGAGGAGCCCTTTGACCCCATCGTCATTTCAGGCCTCACCAAGAAAGGCCTGGCAGAGAGGTGAGAGACAGGCAGGAGGACCGGTCGGGGGTAAAGAGGGATTTGATAGGATGGTGACACATGCTTTAGGTTGAGGCTAGTCAAATCTGAGGAGGTCCCTTAGGGAACATTTTTTAGAGTAAACAAGACAATAAACAATGTCAGTCTCGTCTTTTTCTAAAACAAGAAGCCTCTTTGTTTCCGTCCCAGTCAGCGCGCTGGCAGCCTGACAGTTTCCTGGCCCGTGTGTTGTACTGTCTCGTATCTCTTTCTCCTCTGCAGGACCGGAGCCATCCATATAGGAGACCGAGTGCTGGCCATCAACGGGGTCAGTCTGAAAGGGAAGCCGCTGAGCGAGGCCATCCACCTCCTGCAGATGGCCGGGGAGTCTGTCACCCTCAAGATAAAAAAACAAGCTGACAGTAGGTTATTTTGGTCTCAAATGTTTCCTTTTTTACTTCTCAGTGGTTTGGAAAACAAGATCTTGCAAATGTAGTAGAAACGAAACCAAAATAAACAATAAGATAACAGTTTTTTAACTCAAAAAAAGGTTACGTTAAAAGTAAATGTTGCTTGCCATTCTCCTGCTGAAGGAAAACAAACAAAGACACAAAGTATAAAAAACAAAAAGAAGTACGGGGAAAATAAAGACAATTGCTGGGTTTTGATAACCTTTTAAAATGCATTGATTTAGCTTTCTTTGAGGCTTAAATGCTACAGAAATGATTAATTAAAACTGATAAAAGGTGCACTTCCTCCTTGTTTGATGATTATTTCAATCTCTGTTCATTCCCAGAGTCTGATGGCCAGCGGCCTCTGGACAGAGAAACTGGGTTTTTAAGCGACACAGAGGATGAGCTGACAGACTCCCAAAAAACCAGCAAACACTCTGAGGTCTACTCTGCCACTCTGCCCAGTTTAGACTCTGCCATGAGCTCCTGGGATAGCTCAGGGTTCGATGCAGGCTACGGTAGCCAAGGTAAGGTCCACTGGATGCTTAGTTACCTCTAATGTACCTCTTTTATGTCTTGCATCCAATAAGGTCATTCTATTTTCTTGTGTGTATTGTTCAGGGACATATCTCCACAAAGCCTCAGACCTATTGCTCAATCCAAATGACTGGCGACGCACGAAGCTCAGAAACCAAATCAGCTCCAGCTCTGCAGGCCTGGTCCACCACTCAGCGCTGTACGATGGGAGGTTCACTGAGGACGAGTGGGATAATATACCTGGGTAAGGGCTCAGGTCTGCAGTTTACATCCTGTCAACATCTTGTTACATGTCAGTGCTGCTTCTCGTGTTTTTTGTTTCACAGTAAAGGATGTCTTTTTATTCAAATCATATTCTGTGTATAAGCATTGGAACTGGACTTGTGGTGTTTTAGGTACTTGAACATGTTTTGCTATACCTGACTGTTGTATTTTTTACTACACACACACACACACACACACACACACACACACACACACACACACACACGACATGCATAGTTACTCTACAGATCAAGTATTTACATAAAATGTGCATTATTACTTCATATTGTTTAACACATTATTAGAGAATAAGCCAGTGGTTTACAGTCAGTTCCCCTCATCATGTTTCAGGATTCAATAAGTTATTAATGGAGTTATTTCATATCAAGACTTCTGAAATTAACTTTTGAATAACAGTTTGAGGCTTAAAGATGTAGATTTATTGAATACTTCTCAAAAAAGCAAAGATTATAGAAGAGTAAAAAGATATATAACTAGTAGGTTTATCCTTCCATCACTCTGTGTATAGTGCTTCTGTGGATCATTGAAAAAAACAAACTGCACTGTGTGAATTATTTTTCTCTTCATTTTGTGTTGTATGCGTTCATGTTTCGTGCTTTTCCAAAACTGTCTTTTCTCTTCTCTCTTAGGTATTCTCTCTCTCATCTGCTTTACTAACTGCCCACGAGTCTTTGGTGTTTCACATAGATACATCTTTTTCTGTCACCCCTTGTCTACAACAAAAACGTTTCCACAAAAAAGCGCTCCAAGGATGCATCAGCCTTATCTGTCTCTTCACACTCCTCCCTTTTTTTTTCTGAACTTTTGTGTCACATGCTTTTACATTTTCTGCTTTTTTGGGGGGGGGCGATGTTACTTTTAGTTGACTTGAACTCTTTTATAAAGGCTTATCTAGTGGACTCCAAACGTGTGAGAATTAACAGTAAAAACCCTCAATGTGGTCCTGAGAGGTTTTCAAAGGGATTCTCCAGCGTGCAGCCCAAAAAACTGCATTTCCCATGCTGCCTCTTGTCTGCGGCACACCGGCCTCGAGACCCGCTGGGCTGCTCTCATGTTCTGGTTCCTGCGTTGTCATAGATTCGTCAGCCCCCCTCGTTGCCATGGCACCCTGAACCAGGATGACAGCTTCTGGTCCCAGGCTCTGCAGGACCTGGAGACCTGCGGACAGTCGGAGATACTCAGGGAGCTGGAGGTACGGCCTGCCTGTCATTCCCCCCCCCTCCCTCCCTCCTGGCTTTCTCCTGCCATCTGCTTTGTCCCACTCATGTACTCATAGCCCAGTGTCACCCTAAAAGAGCATGCCAGATGAAGCATTATGATAATCGCCGGAGTGTGTAATCTGTTATTAAATCTGACAACACAGGCCGGGCACCTGCTGCCTCTAACCCAGGAAGGCTTTAGTGCCCTGGCCTCTAATCAGGCTCTGTGGATACTTCATGAGATTATGTTGTGCTGTCCAAATGGATGTCTTTTTTTCTGTCCCTTTTTATTACATGATGCTCTTTGATGTTGTGCTCTTTCAGGCATCCATGACAGGTAGCGCTCTCAGTCTGTACCTGGAGGAAACCAAGACCAACGACGACTCAATGTTTCGCTCTGAAATCAGTCCCATTAAAAGGGAAGCAATGCACTTTGAGTCTAACAACAAAACCAACCTGCACATGTTGACTGGAAGCAGAGACCTACCCCCCCGGGGCAGAGGGGACCCCTCGGATATCGTGTCCCCTACCACGCTGGCACTGCACAAGGTAGTTGTTTTAGGGATTTACACAGTAGAATTCATCATTTGAAAATAAACAACAGTATTCATTATCAGTAAACGCAAGCAGTTACTGACTCCCTGTTGAGAATCATGGGTCCTCAACAGGGAGTCAGTGACCTCTAGGGGTCATGTTCGTAACCCCCCCCATAAATAATTAGGGGGGTATTTGGCCCAATTTTGTTGTAATGTACCCAATTTTGCCCACTTGTCTCTTCCTTTTTAACTAACAACATACACATTTTTGGCCCAGTTGCCCCTTCCATTTTTAACTGGTAACAATGTAACTGTTCCTGATACGTATAAATAAGGTACTCTGTAGTAAAAAAAGAAAAAACTCCCTTATTGTCCATCTCTTTCCATTCTCTTGTACCAGCATATTGTACCCAAATCATATTTGATAGTCCATATGCACTACTACAATAATCTAAAGACACATGATTATCTGATCATTGATTTATCAGTCAGCTTCATTCCCAGTTTGAAGGATGAACATGGGGCAAACAAGTGTCCTGAGGGAACATGCCCATAATGACGTTTATACCTGCGTGCCTCCTTCATTGGACTCACTGTGCCTGTTGTACTGTCTAACTGGACCCAGTGGATACCTGGCCAGTCAGGACTTGCAGTATGTTTACAACAGAAACACACAACATTCATTATGCATCATTACATGCTGTGACCTTGGTGTGTACTCCCTGAGAAGCTGTTTGCTGTCATCTGTGCATCTCAGAATGTAACCGGAACAGAGCATGCTCTAGTGACAAAGCAACACCGTCAGGCGGTGTGGAAATATAAATAGTTTTGAGTTGACGCATCTGACTTCATATCATGGAAAGTCATCTGAAGTCCTAGCTTAAGTGGTTTCTTGTTGTACCAGCTCAGCTTATGTGGGTCTGAATCCCAAGAGACACATGACACAGAGACATGTGGTCGTTTAAAACGTTGTTTAGTATAAACAGAGGAAGAATAACGGACACACAACTGTGCAGCTCTGTGATGATACAATACTGCAACAATTTATATGTAGTAGTTTGCAAGACTATGAATTAAAAATGTATACAACCTCCACCAGGGATTTTATGTTTTCAGGTTTTTGTTTGTCAGAGGGATTATGGAAAATGTAGAAGCCCAATTTCATGACAAATGCCCTTCTAGAGTTATCTTACATATTATCATGTCTTTTTTATTTTGTTCTTTACCTTTGTTTTTGTCCGGCCACAATTTAAAGTTAACATTTTGTGAAAATGTGCTTAGTCATTTTCTTGCACAACGTTAGATAGGAGAGTGTTATTTCTCTTTATCTGTCGAACAACAGACAGTTAGCTAGCTAAGAGTAGCATCTACTCCAGCCAGGCAAGCAGTAGTATTTATGCTTAGCTCAGATAACTGTCTCCTGGCTGCAGCTTCACATTTAATGGACAGATATGAGAATGGTATTCACCTTCTCATCTACTGTGTATTTATTTTCAGGTTGACTCAGTCACACTGGTTGTTAAAAAGAACGGAACAATGTATCTTGAGACTCATGTTTCCTATTCTGAGCGTTATCTCTGCTTTGTCTTGTAGCCTTTAAGTGTTTAATGTAAAGCCCGAAACACGATATGAGCATTTTAGGAAGCATGAGCTCTATGAATGACACTAGCGTGTGTCATTATAACTAATCCAGGAGGATCCAGTGTTTTAGGACTTTTACTAATGTAAAAAAAAAAAAAAGAAGTCAGGATTTCTAGCCATCGGCTATAATCTTTTGCAAATCTCTGCCCCAAATACTAAATTGCTGCAGTTTTGACATAAAAGCCTGTGTGTAAACGCCAAGAAAAAAGGTTTTTATGAATATGTGCTGTACTGTAAAATCTGTGTCCTCATGTGTTTCAGGTCACCTTAAGGAAGGACCATGACAGCAATGACTTTGGCTTCAGTGTATCCGACGGGCTTCTGGAGAAAGGAGTTTTTGTCAACATGATCCGCCCCGACGGCCCAGCTGACCAGGCGGGGCTGAAACCCTTCGACCGCATTCTTCAGGTATGGATTTGAAGAAATTCAAATTGTTTTGCTTGTTAGTGAATGTTGGACCAGAATGATATCCATCCCCTGTACATATACTTTATACGTGCAAGTAAAAACGTGTCCTCCATTGAACAATTGAAACATTTTAACAAATATTTCCATCTTCTAAATCAAAACTGTAATCCCTAATAACCATTAAAAAATAAATAGGTTTGTAGCACAGCCCTTTTTATAAGAAGGACACTTTGTTGTTTGTCTCTTTTTATCTTGTGCTATTCTATACATTTATTATTTACTGTTTATCTGACAGCAGTAAAACTGTTTCTAAACGGCTTGTCATCATCCTGCTGAAAATTACAATGAAATCTCTCACCAATATAACAAAAAGCTAATTTCCCCTAATGACAATCTATGCCTTTTTTAGGTGAACCGAGCCAGGACCAGGGACTTGGACTGCTGTCTGACTGTACCTCTTATTATAGAGGCAGGGGCCGCCCTGGACCTGGTCATTAGCAGGAATCCTCTGGCAGCAGACCCCGGGCGGCCCGACGACTCCAACGACCGCTCACATTCACTGTTCTGCTTTCACGAGCAGCCCAGGACCAACAGCATCGCCCTGTGACCACACAGATAGACGGTATAGCTTTATGAAGCACTGGGACCACACACACGCATACACACACACACACTGTTGTGCACGGTACATTTATCACACAGTACCTCTCTGACACACCAACAAAGAACGGCCATTCTCACCGCCTGAAAGCATCCCTCACTCACAAAGTTACAAGTGCATGTGTTCACTTCTGCCGGAATTAGTCACTGTGTTCCCATGATGCAGTTCAGAGGAGGCTCTGGCTTCAGCCCCCTCCCCCCCACCTCCCACCTCACCGCTTTCCTCTCCAGAGGCAAAGCCACATGCAGGCTTATATAACAGGAGGAGTCATAGCTTCTGACTGAGCCAGGATGTTAACACACAGGCCTCTGGAGAGTCAAACACTGCACACACACACATACGCACACTTCTTATATATTTTATATCTTTTGCTCTGATTGAGCTTCACGTTTCCATTTATTATGCAATCTTTTTGTTGCACATAAAAGATTCACATGCAATTCTTTATAAAACACGCACGCACTGACACACAGGGTGTAAATGGACTCAAGGTCCAAGGCCCTTATGCTTATTTGAGTAATTTCATACACGACATGGCTGACTGCCCTTGTTTCCATTCTCTTCCCACACTGCCCGTCCCACAGAAGTGACAGGACCTCCAAATAGACAAAATGCTCCCTGGTAGTTTCCAAGGCTCGTTAGCTGAATTTAAAACCTCCTTACATTTTAATACCAGGAATGCTTGTGAAGACACTCTACTCTGTTTTTCCTTGACGGTTTAATAGTTTCTGAATGGTTCCAGAGGGACTCTACTGTTCTCCAGTTATATACATTTAGTTTTTTTTGCTCCCGTTTTGATGACTCACCCTCACATTAACAAAAATGCTGTTTTCAGTTTCTGCACATGTTTCTTGCTAGCACTGCGTTTGCACAGAAGGCACATTTTATGATTTATTTCTTGAAAATTCCCTCACTTTCACATTTCACTGTGTGACTCAGGCATGTGGCATTACACCAGAATGACTTAAGGGTTGGTTGGTGGACCATCACTGATGCTTCCTTAAGTGAATTACATCCTTTCCCAAAACGGAGGATGAAATGCCTTTTTACATTTTCAGTGATTAATGATTTTCTTGTTCTCAGTCCACATCTGATGTTCCTCTCTGCAGTAGCTGTTTTCTCTACCGTTCTCAAAAAGCATGTAAGGCATGGGTTTGTCTTTAGCAAGTATCCCTCACTTTAAAACAAAAACGGTATTGGAATTTGATCTTTGTTGGGGTGCCCCCTTTCATCATGTCTGTGTTTTTATAAAGCTTTAGTGTAACAAATCTGGCCTGCTGATCCAGCTTCCTCTGGAGATGAGAACCTGATTCGTGTGTTGGCCGATGTGAAGATGTTGTGAGATAGTTGTGATGTCCTGTTCAGAGAAGATTGAATAATCCTTGGGGCAGTGACATTTTGTTTTTATCTGATCCAGATATTTCTTATATAAAATGACATGTTATACACAGAGGCCTATTTCTAAGGTATTTTATTAATTTACTGTATCTTTTATTTTGCTGTATAATGTATCATTGGCATGCTTTATTTTCATTTAAAGTATATGCACACATTGAGTATCTTCATGAAAGCTGTGATACTGAATGTGGCTGCACATTGTGTGGTCAATTACAACATCCTCCCTGAATAAGTCAGGAATAGTTTCAAAGTAACTTGAAATATTTATTTATTAATATGATTTTTATTTTTGTTATTTAATTTATTATAAACTAAGAAATGCATTTCTTTTTATGAGAATAAAGTTCATGAAACCATAGTTGCTCTGGTGTGTCAACAGTGTTTTGTTTATTATGGCTATCCCCACCAAGATAACGCACACTAACCCAAAAGCGTGTCAACAGTTGGGTTTAATGCAATATGTTGTGTTTGTTTCAAGTTATAATAAATACTTTTTGTAATATTTGGCAGCTTAGACTGCCTAGTTTAAGGTTATGTTTTTAGGACTTTAAAGCCCTATTGACAGTTTGAAAACATTTTTTGGAAATGTCATTAAATTAGTTTACTGTCACACACTGGGTAACTACTAGTATTCTGTGTAAGATCAGTTTGTGACAAGGTGTCCATTGCAAATGGGGCACAACATGTTATTGTCCATCTATGTCAGTGGTCGCCAACCAGTCGATCGCGATCGACCGGTCGATCGCGAGTGTGGTGCGGGTAGATCGCGGACCGTTAAAAAACAAAAGAAAGAAAAAGAACATTTAAATAATAATGTTTGAAAAATACGTTTTTAGATATAAACCTATCATCCACCACCACCCCGTTAGCAGGTGCCACTTGATTGACGTACATTTGAGAAACCTCAATAATATAATACATTAACCGTGCTTTACGTGAACCTCATCATGACACAAGAGACAACGGCAGGCCTGTAATTTCCCGTGTTCAGTGAACGCAACAGAGGCAAGACAACAGACCAATCAGAGAGTTGCATGGAAATACACGTGTGCTTGTGTCATTCAAGCTCGGCTGTGTGTGTGTGGCAATAGCGCATTTAGTGTGATAGAGAGAGGGAGAGAGAGGGACCGGTGCTAGCGGGGACCGTGATGTTAGCATCTGGTTAGCTAGCTGCACTAACTGACATAAGGAGCTGTTTCCACAACAAGCTGGAGGAGAGTCCTCTCCTGTCAGACTGAGGGGCTCAGGTGAGCTAAAGGACTCTCTGAGTGTTTAGAACGGTTTTGTCACAAATTATTCAAAAGATTATTTCCGCGGCACACCTTCATATGATCATTATAGTTATACAAACAATAAGAGAATAAATGAAAAACAGGTATGAAATAGCCTACTATACAGTATGTCAGTAAAACAAGAATACAGTTTAAAAGGGGAGTGATTTGTAAAATATCCATAAAGAAAAAGAAAATCTGTTTACAGTTCTGTTTCATACGGGTGCTGAGAGAGGTATCCATAGATCTCTTCATGTTGCTCTCAAAGTGCACCAGATTGATGCTTTCAACTTCAATATTCAAAAAAATATCTTCCTGGGGGAGCATCCCCCCGAACCCCCCTAGAGGAGGTGAGGTCTGCCCCCCAATAGCACTATACCCCTGCTTATATGCCGTGAGCTGATTATGGAGCCTTCATTGTAACAGTAATTAAAATGCAATTAGCCTATATAAAAGGCCTCAAATTGGAAGCATTGTCTGGGCCGTCTTTTTCACTCAATTCTGCAATAGGTAGATCTCGCCTTTCACCTAGGCCGAGGTCAGTGATCTTGGGCTTAAAAAGGTTGGTGACCACTGATCTATGTTAAGTAAATCCAATATCTGTCACAATATTAGAGCAGGAAATAACTATCAAGCAGGGTTTCTGATTAGTTTTGAGGACATGAATGAGATTTCTTTTTTCTCAACATTTGCCACACTTAATGAGCCTGACAGAGATGCATGTGCTCTCCCTTTGCCATAATGCATTTGGAGTTCTTGCTTCCTCCTGCACTCATGTTGACCATCCAGGTGACGTATATTAAAGTGCAAGGGGGTTCAATCACTCAAGAGCTTCGGCCGGACGGTTGGACACCAGAGACATGCCCAAATAAGCCAGAATCATTCCTGTGGTTGAGATGTCAATGCCGTTCCCACCTGTTCCGGGGCATTAGATTGATGGTGGGTGGGTCACCTAGAAATATTCACGCCAAGTATCAATGAGTGGTGAGAGGTGGGGGTCAAAGCGGGCATTGGTTTTATCTGTTCAAATAGTTGGTTCTTTCAGGAGTAGAATCAAATTAGTATTGACAAAGGTCAAAACACATGATCGTATTAATGAAAAAAATACTTAGTGTTGATTCATTGGTAAAAACATCCAGCGGGCACCCTAAACCTGAGGGTTAGAGTTACGTAGTGCACATTTACTTGATATTCCATGTATGTCGGAAGACATATGATATTGTGTTGAAAGGCAGTCTATAAATCATCTGTGCGTGGTAGATATCCTTTTAGCAAGGAACTCCTCCAATATATGCAGTCATTTTTATGGCAAGAATAAAACATGTATTTAACAGTGTATTCTTGCTTTAGGCTTCAGCTACCAACAATTCAATAGCTGGTTCCTAGTGAAACTTTAATGTTGATACAGTGGAAAAATACAAGACTAAAGAGAAGAATGGAGTAATTGGGCATTCAGGAAGAAAAGCATTTTTGTAAATATTGGATACAAAGTAACTGGTGTCATGTTCAGATGGACATTTCTCCACTTTTCAGGGATGCTAATGCTGCCGACATTAATATTAAGAGAACAAAATCATTTGTATGACACAAAATCCAAAGAAAAAAATGTTTATTCATAATCTATATAGAAATGATGCAATGTGCATCTAAAAAGGGGACAACTGTGAGACAAAAATACTTTGGTACACTTGAATCTCCGAGATGTTAACTGACAAAGCAGCACGGTACTGTGGTGGCTCCTGCACATTCTTCAGATGTTGTATCTTACTGGGCAAGATGCTGCATTATTGAACATTACTCTAAATCTGTGGTGCATTTTGAGCAAGCAGAGCATTCCATTGCTTCAATTAATATTGCACTCTGACAAATGTAATCCAATTTTACAATATAATCAATATTTAGAAAGTTTTCAGTAAAATTAATTAATCAGTGATGGTGTTCAAATGATGTACAGTATAAAATTGTTACAAAAAGGCATAAGTGATTTACAAACATTTAAGATCTATGATACAAATGCCTAAATCGAAACATTATCAACTAAAATCTAGTGGTAGATCTGTAGATCGCGTCTGCTACTGTAATGAGCACAATGAGAAAAGCTGTAAGGATTGTTAAAAGAAAGGTTTTGACTTTTTAAAATTGTTCTCACAGATTTGGCTAAGAATGTTTGATTTCTACTCTAAATGTGTCAATGTCTTAGCAAGGCCAAGGAGACAACTAGATACTGTATATCAAAGTTTACAATATCAAAAGGTTAAAAGCTACAAATATTCCTCCTGAAATGTGTTGCAAATGCATCTCCAAATAGCTTGCAACAATATAAACAAATACTACAATAAAGATTAAACGACATAAAGTGCAAAGAGAGGTTTCCATAAATGCACTGGGACTGACTATAGTAGTCAAACAGGCTGTGTCCAAATACTCTAAAAATGCCACTTCCCTTTCCTCCTTACTTCCTCGGCTGTTTTTTTGCTTTTTATCCTTTTTCTGTTTTTGAGGGTGGACTTTCTCATAGTATTTGACCAAGGCCTAGTTTAACTTGTAGCTTAAATGATGTCAAGCAAGATTAACTATTTACACTACATATTGCCATTTAACATGTTAAGGATTTCTACTCAGAGACAAGGGTACATTCATTTTCACTGCAGGGATGAACATTAAGATATTAAAAAAGATGGTTAGGGCTACAAAACAGTAACAATAAAGTGAGAGTGTTTAGACGTCTTTTCCCTTTTACATGGCTAATTACTCATTTAGTTTACTAAATTTAAGTGAAGTGAGAATTTTTCTTCTAATACACCGTAAAAGCAAATTCGTCATCTTTTCTCCGGAATCAACAGAAAGGTAGTAAACATTGAACATTTTCTATCTCAAAATACTGCCTAAACTGAGATCAGTGCCAGCTACAGCAACAACAATTGTAACAACAATATTGATATAGTAAAAAAAAAATGACATGAGAAAAAAAAAAACCATAACAATAATATATAACTTTTTTCATAAAAATCAAATCAGAGTATCTCTAACGTGAATATATTGGATGATGTAAACCTACCATTATCAAGGTTAGCAAGTATGATAATAACACAGAAAGCACATCAATCTTATTCCTCTCACAGAGAGCGCTCACATCATTGTTTCTACAATGGTGTGGGTGGGCTTGTTCAAGCCATTGGTCCCGTTTGCGTCCAGGGGCTGTGTCAGCTCGCTGCCCTTCACGTTGTACTCTTTCGGGCGAGAACTCACGCCTGACTTCGCCGGGGCCGCTACTGCTTTGATCCTCTGAGGAAGGAAGGAGACGACAGATAGGACTAATGACCATCACAAACAGGGGCAGTATAATGCTCAGAATGACAGCTATTATATTTAAAATGACAAACATCGCATCTGAATTTGTCCATGTTCAACATTTCAAGCCATGTTGATTTAAATTTGACGGCCATTTGGGGAGCAGACTTCTTCATACTTTTACCAGGAATTGAGATGAAAAAAAAATCTACACTTGCTAAATGTGAAGCTGCAGCCGGGAGATTAGCTTAGTTTGACAGAATGACCTTAAGCAAAGGAAAACGGATAGTCTGGTTGCTAAACAACCTCATGGTAACAAGTTGAGACTGTTGATGTGCTGCAATAACATGCAAAGCGACAGTCATGTGACCACAAGAGGTTGCCCTGGCTTGAACTATCGCATGGAGCTAATCTGCATATTTACTGACAGCTGGCAGTTTAGGGCTTGAGAGTTGAGATAGCAGCTAGCCGTAGCTACACATTTTCTGTATAGGCCTATCTACAAACGTTTGAGGGAGGATGGCTAGCTAGAGTTAGCTATTGTTTAGTTTGTTTCTCTCATATTTCTTTTTTTCAAATAATGATTTTGTCAAAACTAATCTCAGTCCAAACAATTAACACAGGTTGGTAACAAGATTTGTAGTCTTAGGGTTTTAAGTCCCATTTATTTTTGAAAAATAGTGAAAACTAGCCTTTAGCTGTCTCAGTAAAATATGACTTTTACTTTGATTTTAGTACAGATGTAACAAACAGTAGTTTAATTAGTGTGCTTTAGAAATGTTGTTAGGTTAGCTTTAGA